GAACACTATCAAATTATTTAAGAGCTGTCATAATTATTTACAACAATCATTGAAGAAGTTTCAGATATATATACAAGGCGTTCACGATTTCTGCTCAACTTTTTAGCAACGCCATGTGCATTAAGTTCTTTATTATAATTTAAAGTAAAACAAACATATATACACACATATATACATTGACAACCACTATTTGAAACTGGACCATTGAGGAGGTAGTAAAACACAATTGTTTACGCTTCTGTCGATAAGAATGTCAACTAAAGTATAGAAGATATATCGCCACTCTTATGGAAGTACCAGAAGTTTATAACCATTATATCGATTATGCTTTATGTACAGTACATGATTCTTTTCATCTGTGATTTAGATCTAAAGAACAATCACTAAATCATTTGCGTAAATAAGATACGTAATGTAAACCTCATATATTTGGTTCATATTGATAGAAATAATGTTAATTGTGGATAAACACGTTTATCTATTATTTCCTAAATTAAAATTTGAGGAAGAGAGCGAAAAACAATTCAAATAATAAATACTTCTTTCATTAGAATGCTAACATTAAGGCACATTAAAATAACCTAACTAGACATGGTTGTAATTATAAACGTTAATTATAATTATGGCTACAGAGAGAATAAATAAAGGAAATATTTATTAGCATCGGTAACATAACAAACAAAATACAACTCCAGATTATATTTATGGATCTTGTTTATGTTGTTACAAACGATAGCCGTTAGTACTATCGATGCATTTATCAATGAATTGGCTTGAGCCCACCTTATATATTCAATATTGACCGTGTGAGGGATATATTGTAACAATTATATTGACATTTGTACTATGTATACAACGTTCAAGAATATCGCTTCAATATTATTGATTCAATAATATTGACCGAGTAAAGTGTGCTTTAGTGACTATTGGATACGGATAGTTTTTCATTATTGATAGTTCGATTCAATCGGTGAAAAAATATAAATTAAAACGAAAAACTATTCACTTTTAAATTATTATATTAACAATAAAAGTTGTGCATTAATAAATGGGTGAAAGTTTTAAACGAATATTATTAAATATATTCCTATTAATATATAAAATTTGAAATGAATTTGTGTTTAATTGGAGGATACGAACTTCCGAAAATTATTGGAACTATTTTTCTAATTCTACTTTCCCTTCTGTTTTTAAGAAAAGAAAAGGTGTGCAATAAAATATCTTAGGACGGTGCACAGTGGGATGAGTAAGGAAAATAAGGGGAAACTTGCGACTTCGGCTAAAATTATTATTTTTTTTAGCTGCAAAAACTATATAAACTGTTTTATTGATACCTTCTGGAATTGTAGAGAATATTTTCAATTGGCAGAATAAACTTTTTTCACAATTTTTATCGAATATATCAATTAAAAACCATGTCGTTTTGGAAAATTTCGCGCGATTTGTAAGTTTTGTAAAAATGATAGGTTTGAGCTGGTGGTTCATACTTTTTTCTTGAAACTTTATCAACTTTTTACTGCCATTCCGCTAAACTAGAAAAATATATAATAATGTTTCAATTTGTTTTATTTCGAATTTTTGTTAAGAAAAATAGGTGTTTTTAAACCAAATGTTCACAAAGATTAAGATTTAAAAAAAGCTCCAAAAAAATTATTTCTTACAACTTTTTAGCAGTCCTTGTTAAAGATTAATTCGTATTAATTTAAACCGCCATGGTCCACCTGAAGGTAGTTAAAATATATTTAAAATTATTATTGTATGCATAAATGTTCGAACAATTTGTAGGAAAGTACTAATATCTCCTTATAACTAGACATACTCTCTAATTTAGTTTTAAGAATTGTATTGAACATAAAAGAAATAAGGTTCTGTAGTTATAAGTTTCGAAAAATACTTGAAACCAAAACAAAAAAAAATACATTAAATATTAAATCCTCGCTTCTATTGTTTTAAAATTTTAATTTTGTCTACATAGATAAGAAATATACTTTTACAATATTCTATTAACTGTATATAACCATCCTCGATTTTCGTTTAAATCTAAATAGATAAACAAGCACAACACCGTTAAATGAATTAAAGTTTAAAATTAAATAGAGAAGGTGGGGGTCAATGGGTACCCGTACAAGACGGCCTCAAGAAAAAACACAACTTTTATTTACTTTTTCCACTAATATTACTGTTAGTAATAAAATATAATTTTTTTCAATCTCTAAACCTTATTCTTTTTAAACGTCTGTAAGATCTGTAAAGATGGAGGGAATACTTTAGAGAGTTACTGGTTGGGAATGATAGGAGCGAAGAAATGGAAAATTGCTAGGAGATAAGTGAGGATAGTGTGCAACTGCAACAAGGAGAATCGGGTCATCGATAGATAAAGAGGAAATATGGGACGCACTGGATAGGATGAAGCTAGGAAAGGCAGCAGGTCATGATGGAATAACACCCGAGATGCTTAGATATATGGGGAAGACAGGAGATAAATTATACTTCAGGGTATTAGAATTGGCCTGGAAAGGTAAGAAAATTCCGAAAGACTGGGAAATCTCAACCATTGTCCCAATCTTCAAGAAAGGGGATACTCGAGAATGTGCCAATCAATTCATTGCTGAGTGTCCCAAGTAAAATATTCTCAAGTATCTTAGAAAGAAAATTGAGGAACGAGGTAGAACACCAACTGGACGAGGAGCAGAGTGGCTTCTGACCAGGCAGGAGTACTCAAGATCACACTTTGCGCTATACCAAATATGTGAGAAATTCATCGAGTACGATAAAGAAGTTTACCTGTGCTTTACAGACTTAGAGGAGGCATTCGACAGGATATCTTGGAATGAGCTATGGGCTTCACTCCGGAATAAACAAGTGTACGAGGCTCTTATACAGAGAATTAAATCATTTTATAAGACCTGCAGAAACTATGTTAGAACATCCCATCAAACATCTGTCGAATTTGTCACTACAATGAGAGTCAGGCACGAAGAGATAGAGAACCCTCTATATCTTATCACCCTCATGGATGATGTTATTAAGGAATGTAAGAGGAAAACAAGGGAGACACCACTAGGATATTGGAAATTGCAATCAGTCAGCTGTTCATTGTTTCCATTTGCTGATGACATTATGCTAATAGCTGACAGTAAAGAAAAGTTACAGGAAAATTTAGATAGCAAAAAGAAATATGGTCATTAGCATTCCAAGACTATGTTTACACTGGTTTCCAGAAATAAGAAGGATTTTGGGATTCACATTCATGAGGAGATGATACAGCAGGTTCCTACGTTCAAGTATTTGGGTGGCGACGATCAGTGAGAGCGGGAAGATCAGAGACAAAATTAATAGGAGAGTTACCACTTCAGGAAGGATGTTCTCTGCCATCAATAAGAAGTTTTGAAGTTAGAGAGAAGTGGCAAAAGAAACAAAATTAGCCGTCTATCGCTCGATGTTCATCCCTATCCTCTTTTATGGAAGCGAATCCTGGGCCCTGAAGCAACATTATCGCAGCCGTCTCCAAAACATGGAAATGAGGTATCTTAGGAAAATAGAAGGAAAGACCAAGGGCAGCTTCGATAGTTCGGTCATGTAATGAGGATGGATGATCCGCCGTTCAGCAAAGAAAATTATGGAGGCTAAACCAGCGGCAAAACGACCTAGAGGAAGACCAAGAATTACTTGGGAATATAATCTCAAGAATATTTTTAAAGAAAGAGGAATTGGATGGACGGAAGCCAGGAGAGCAGCCCTCGACAGAGAAGGATGGAAACTCTTGTAAAAAAATCTCTACACCGAAAGCTAAAAGAGATTATTGAATAAGAATGAGGAGGAGAAGCGTTATTTTACTAGAAAACTCATTCCATGCTGCAGAGCCATTTATAGTAATTTGTCTCAGTTTTATTACAAATTTGATAAAAATCGTTGACCGTGGTTTTCGTCCATTATACCTGATTTTACCAAATTTTTAAGTTAAGGTACTCATTTCTTTAACATTTCTTAACGAGCATGTTTTTCGCTTCAATGTACTGTTCAGGAGTTATCGGTGAAAAAAAAATGATAAAAAAAATATGTTTTTATTTTTTTTGGCTGGAAAAAGTTTTCCCTAAATGGTCCATGCTAGTTATTTTGTTTTAAACATTTTTGAAACCATATATATTATGAACGTTAAAAACAAAAACTTTCCCCACATTTTTCGCTATACTTTCCCCGTTTAGACCCTGAAGTTACTAGCCTAATATTCTTTAAATCAGCTGCCATTTTTTAAATCAGCGGCTCTGGAATGGCACACAAGGTTCATTTTACTTAGAATTTCATACACTTCCGTAATTTATGTTTTAACCTTCTCCTGCGGTAAGTATTATTTTTTTTTTTGCACACGTTATAAAGGAAAAGGTTGGATTTAACACGGCCTTCTTTTTGGAGGCTCTGAATATCGGCAACCTTAACATGAAATCTGTTATCCAATATTGAGAAGTAACGAACACTTACTGAAAGCTAGGTATACATGGGCATTATGGACATAGACATATCCACCTCATAGTAACAGCTGTATATTTTTTTAAAACTACGATAATGCAATGCTACAAGAAATGGAGGCTAAATCTCAAAATTGTATTTCTAAGTCATAGAAAATTAGGTAATAACTACATAAATGTATGGTTAATATTTATGAATTAAATTTTATTTATATAAGTCTCAAATGTTAACTTTGATATACAGTAAAATTACTTATGAAGAGGGATGTGGTAGTGATGAAGATCAACTATCATATGAATAAGAAGATATTTCACGGTAATGAATATGGAAAAAAAAGTATAGATACTCTTGATATTATAGGGAAAAAGTATTGATACCACTAATAAATTGAATCAAAAGTATGGATACAAAAATCACAAATATGGGACGGAAACTATCAATATCACAGAAAAGCGTAATAAACATAACGTCTATAACTATGGATCTATCCACAACCCTACAGAACAACATTATGTGAATATTGTTGATTCTTTATGGGTACCTGGTATTGGGGGGGTTATTTGAAGATAAGATAAGTTATTTATACTTTCTTCCCAAGAGAGGGGAGATTATCATACGAAGTATTAGGTTGTTCTGAATAAAACCAGTTATTTCTTAATATACAAGTTATTTTTTCTAATCCATTATATAAAGGTGTATTTTGTTTAACAATAATAATTTAATAACAGTTATTAAAAGTGAACTTTGTTTTTCAAGTTATTGTTATTGAATTGTATTATTTATAACCAGGTACTAGTAGTAGATGGTTTTGAATCGTAACAACACAAAGAACACAAAAAAAAAAAAAAAAAAATATATGAAGTAGGATATCTTTTTGATAGACAATAAAAAAATAGTACGTTTTGTACAGTCCTTAAACTCAAGGTTAGTTACGACATGAAAAAAACAATAAATTCTTTGGATGTTCTTAAGTAATTGATGTATAATACTAAAGAATACTTTTTAAAGATCCTGTTTTTTACTTCAAAAATTAAAGAACATTATAAAGTTGGCCCGGGAATATTGTCAAAATGGTTGGTCATAAAACAAAATATATACATATATATATATATATTCTCAGGTAATATATCCAATATAGACAACAACTTACAAACATATGTACCATGGATACGGTTGTTCTACATAAACAATCTTTATAATACAAATTGTTGAACATTATACATTTCGAATCCAAATAATATCTAACACTAATTTCAAGTCGGGCAATTTTCCCAACTCCCTTATCAGTGTAGATGCTACCCTACTTACTAGACGTTTTTAGCCAATAATCGATGAGAAAATTCCAAAAACTAAAATTGTTAATGTTTAACCCCCCTCCGTCAAAAAAAAAAAAAAAAAAAAAAAAAAAAAAAAAAAAAAAAAAAAAAAAAAAAAAAAAAAAATAGTGCTTCCAACCTAAATATCAGTAAGGTCTTATTTTGAAGGGCTATCTACGAAACGGATTGCAGTATCAGCCACTGATTTTGCAAGATGTACAATTATAGTCTTATCAATTGTTTGTCGTTTCTCTATCGTATATATCTTGGATCAATGATGCGAAATAAAACTGCGAAAAAGGGGAATTTTCCCTCCGAAAATTACCATTTATTTGTAAAGAACAAAGTTTGAACGTTTTTTTCAAAGTTTTGCACAATTTTATTCATTCAATTATTGTCGAATCTCCATCGGATATACCTTAAATGCAATACGATATTTAACTTCCTATAAATGGAATATATAGTTTTCAACTGAAATACACGTTTTGAGGTACCCTTGAGTCCAAATACCGCTGCTGGTAAACTCTTCCCTGGCAGTATAGTGCAGCCATACCAACTCCCTTTCAGTCCCTCAGGTCGACAAAGGATCAAATTTGGTGAAAAGTCAAATCTGCACCGTTTTACTTCCTCGATGGAATCAGACCAGGAGAGGCACATTCAGAGTCCATCAGAGCCCGAAGGCAAAGATAAAGGTAAGGCGACGTCCGTAAACAAAGCCAGACTAAAAAAGAAAATATACCAAAGGAAGGAAAAGCGAGAGGGATACCCTCAGAATGAGGCGTCGAACTCCCATTTCTGCCCTGGCTACCCAAAGGCGGCACTCTTTTTCTGGACGTTCAGCGCTAGTTAGAGGCTGTATCTAGGAGCGTCCTGGAACCGATTCGTGAAGGGTGAGTAGACTTGTCCTTCTCGTACCCCCTGTCGACACGAACGGGACTTCCGGATCAAGAGCTGGCCTGTTTCTTCATTTTACAAAAAGACAAAGGCCTCGGTGAGGTGTCGCCACCAATGGACACTAGTCTATGCTCTTAGAAATAATATAAAATAGATGCGTAATTAATTTTATTAATGAGGAAAAAATAATAATGAAGAAAATAGCATAAATTCACGTTATCTTACTCCATTTAAAAATATAATAAAATCGGATTGTAAAATACGAAAACATTCCTCAAAAATAATCCAGAATTATATTTAATTAAAAAGATAAGACAAAAAAATTAGCATTTATTCTCAAAGAGTGGTATAACAAGAAGATGCTAGATCACAAGTACGTGTATGACCCCGGAAAAGATTTAAATAAAATGGTCACAGATTATGTTAATAAATTAGAAAAATTCAAAGTTATAGATAGAAAACTAGACTTAAACTGATTAACAATTACTACCAAACATCAAAAATTCACTGTCTGATAAAAACAGAAAAAGTATGAACCTTGTCCACCAATAGTGGACGCTACTAACGGCCCAACGTACATGTTAAAATACCTAAACCCAAGCCTGAACCAATTTTGTAGCAATAATCCATTTGAAGTTAAGAACACAATAGATTTAACAAACAAAATAAATTCCCTAAATTTTATAAAAGATAGATATTCGATGTCCAGTTATGACGTAAAATAACTTTTTACAAACGCACCATTAAAAATGGTCTACAAATTAATATCTGAAAATTGGGATAAGATTGAGCCACAGACCCCAATAAAAAGTAGGACGATGTTTCTTGAAGGACTTTTCACCGAAAATAGATATTTTTCTTGAAGGACTTTTCACCGAAAATGGATATTTTTCTTTTCAAAAACAGACCTACCTACAAGCAAATTTTCAGTATCCCGATGTGCGATTCGTTATCTGTAAATCTATCAGGTATAGTCCTAAATTAGATTCTCGAAAACTTATTAAAACAAACGAATATAAAGCCCTTATTAATCCTAAAATATATCGACGATCTATTTGTCATCCTTAAACATGAAGAGCATTCTATATTGGTTGATAACCTTAATTCAATTCATCTAAAAATAGAATATGAAATAGAAAATAACAATAGTATAAATTATCTGGATATGACTAGTTAAAAAGGATATATTCTAAATGATATAGAAAATCAATGACATCAGAAAATATCCTCAATTTCTATTCTAATCATCCTAAAATGCAAATCATTAATGTAGGTAACAATTTGATTAATAAAGCAATTAAAATTACAGACAATATATAATATAAACATAAAAACAAGTCAAAGAAATTGAGCAACAAATATTCAATATACTAAAAAATAGTTTCTATCCACATAAATTAATAACAAAATTATGGTATAGAGCAGTAAATAAACTAAAGGAATTACCAATAGCAACTAAAAAACAAACTGCAAATAACAACAAGTTGAACCTACTATCAACTTAAATACGTATCGGTCCCAACCCAAACCAGTCTTAACAATTCTTCAACACCAGCTCACGAAGTAATACAAAAGACACTGAACCAAACCAAAATTCAGAAAATAATATCAAGTAATATACTTGAACCTATTTCCATAAAAAATAATAATAAAAAATTCAAATCCTTAATGTACATCAACAAACTGACATGCAATATCATAAAAACTTAAAAAAAATTATACATAGATGATTTCAAATTCGCCTTCAAACCCAGAAACCCTATATGAAACTTACTGACTAAGACAAAGGACCCAACACTTATCCAAAACAATAGAAATTTAATTTATGATATCCCCTGTAAAAATTATGACAAATCATATATAGGAATGACATCAACCAATAGAAAAACAAGAATATACAACCACAAAAGTACCCTTAAACCTTTTTATTCTATTATTATTTATGAAATTTACAACTCTACATTTAATATACATTCAGCAAATGTGATACAGATAAATAGATGACATGACAAGGCTTGTAGAGAATCTACCCATTGGTAGCACTCTAATAAAGTATTCAAGTTAGGAGATCACGAGGCAATCTTCTTTTCAGACGTCTAGGAGGGCTATCAGAGATCCAGGAGGAAGCAATGTTAGAAAAACGAGAGGATTAGGATGGTTCTGAAGTTTATTATGGAAGGATAAGTATCTGGATTAGGCCAAATCGGAAACATATGGAACATTCACGTCATTATGGATTATTTTATTTGTTGCAAAGTAAGGAGCAATTTTGTTTAACAGGGATAAGTGAGGTAATATTAAAGGATACGGTAGGACAGGAAGTCATAGGTTTACGACAAAGGGTAAAGGTAATCTGATGGGATTTATTGGAATTTATTTTAATTCTTCAAGGTTTGTGATGTGGGTTTGAAGGGTTTGGGATGCAATTGTAGGGTCGTTATGAAATAATACGACACATGTGTCATTGGCATACCCTTAAACCTAATTCAAAAACAGTTACCGCTTTATCAAACCATCCAAAAAACTATAGACATGGAATAGATTTCAAAAATATTAAAATAATTCCTAGATCACACAACTGATCAAAGCTAAAAATTTTAGAATCCATTTATACAGCAATAAACCATAAAAATGTGCTAAATTCAAAACAGGAAGTGGTCCACATCCCTCAACACTATTCACACATAATAACAATTCATAAAAATTTAAATAATTGTGAGTTAAATATGGTAGGGTAACTCAAGTTGCCAAATAGTTCCAATAATATAGAGGGTGCTGACAGTATTTCCTCACCACTCAGTAAGATGGTGTCCGACAAAGAGGGGTCTTATTCTCGGAGAAGTCAGTATGTAAACATTTTATTATATTATTTATTCATCATTTATTTAAACACAAAATTGTAACCTAAACCATTTCAGAGTTGACATGAGACAAAGAACAAGAACACTGTTGTAATCTTTTATGATTTTAAACAGACAAAAACAGAAAAACGTATGACCTGATGTGATAATAATTGCATGGAAATTAGAAAATTATGTAATATTTAATGAATGGATTAATTGTTAATATCATTAATTAATTTATTAATGCATTATATTTGATGTCTTATAATTATAGAGTTGAATGTGGTGCACAGACACCGAAAGCTACTCTTCTAATAAAATTGTAAAATAAAATAGATTGAGAATGGTACAAAAAAAAAAATCATGATCTTACAAAAATTATTGACCCAATTTTATTAATTATGAGCATTTAGATCAACAATGGCCTTAATATTGCTTGTTTCAATTTCTTATGGGCGACCAAATCATTGATGTCAGAATTTCCTAAATGAAATCTGGAAGACCAATTTTGACACATGTTTTCGGATAAGGAATTATCCCCATAAACACTGAAAAAAAGATTATGAGCTTCAGCAGCACGCTTACCTTTTTTAAAATAATACAGAAAAATACGCTAGTCATGATTGATATTTTCTTCCATATTCACAGTGGAATAGCAAACACAATGCTAATTAAATTTTAACAAGAATTTACAGAAACAGTAGTTGACATATTACAATTCAGGTAAACAATCTGATATAAACCAATGTGAGATAAACTTGTAGTGATATAAACCCAAATTTATTTGCCAACCCAAATGATCACTTTTTGTACCAGTTATAGACAGGCTATTGTTTATTGAAAAAAAAACATTGTAACAATAAACAACATAAAATTATAATACTATTATTAATATTTGTATGTGTATGCGTAAATATATACACAGTGGAATATCAATTATCTGAACGTTCAATTATCAGAACCATTTTAAAAAAAATTAAATTGAAGGAAGGAGATGGTCCGGGGTTGCGGTCATAAATAGGCTAAATAGTGGTAAAACTATTTTATTGAAAGCCAACGTTTCGACCCGACTTTGCAGGTCTTCATCAGGGATAGAATGGACAAGATACAAAAAGATAGAGAATTGTGGCAATTACATGATATTTAGACATAATTTATAAACAATGTGAATAAGCTTATTAAAATTATAAACAGTAAGTACAATAAAATATGGACAAAGTAAGCTGAGTAACAAGATCCTAAACTGAAGTAAATTTAAAAGACCTGCAAAGTTGAGTCGAAACGTCGGCTTTCAATAAAATAGTTTTACCACTATTTAGCCTATTTATGACCGCAACCCCGGACCATCTCCTTCCTTTATAATGCAATGGTCAATTATTAAATATTCAATAAAAATTAAATTGATTGTCTAATTACTTAGATTTGAGAGGGTACGAAGTTTCATATACCTGGGTTCAGAAATAAACACCCAAAACGACATATCCCAGGAGATCAACCAGAGAACCGCTGCAGCCAATCGAAGATATTTTGGGCTAGCAAAGTACTTCAAGAGCAGACTCCTCTCCAACAAGACCAAGACTGGCCTATATAAGACCCTGATTCGTCCGGTTCTTATGTATGGGTCAGATACCTGGGCCTTCACTAGAACTAGTGAGAACTTCCTTCTGGTGTTTGAACGGAAGATGTTGAGAAGTATTTTCGGACCGGTTCGAGAGGGAGAAACCTGGAAAAGGAGGAAGAACCAGGAACTATCAAGGCTCTACGGAAACCCTGATATCATCAAGTACATTAAGATTGGAAGACTTCGATGGGCGGGTCACGTGGCGAGGATGAAGGAGGACGAGATCCCAAAGAGGACATTGGCGGAAGAGCTTCATGTCAGGTGAAGAGTGGGTAGGCCAAATGTGAGGTGGGCTGACTCCGTCACAGCGGACGCACACAATCTCCTCGGCGCAAGGAACTGGAGAGCTGCAGCAACAGACAGGACCAACTGGCGGAGACTTTTGGAGGAGGCCTAGACCCGTTAACGGATTGTTGCGCCAACTATGTATGTATGTATCTCTAATTACTCATTTGTACTGAGAACCATATACCTAATTAGGTCACTTCATTT